ATCACTACTTGAAACCAGACAGTGAAGCACACTTGTGTGCCCCTGAGAAGACCGTGGTAGAGCATTCTCCAAGCACACTCACCACTGCCATGAGGACTCCTGGGAACTAGTTCTACCTTGCCTCTGTGTGAATAGCTGGCATGTTCCCAAGTGAGTGGTCTGTTTCTCTGGTGGACACTAGAGCCTGTGCGTCGGACAGGTTTCCTTTTCTCTGTGGGCAGCAGTGGTGCTGCAGGCTCTGCCTGTGACCCCCCAGCAAGAAGAAGAAAGGCATATTTTGCATGGTGGCCAGCTCCAGTGTGTTCTTTTCCTTCTATCTTGCATTGCCACACTTCATTTATGCTATCTTGTCATATTTTATGTCCCATTGTAAGCCACCTGAAAAATGTTCTGTGAAATAAGATTTGGTTTACACTGAAAAGCAGGTAAATAAATAAGACTGCAGGAATTCCACTCTGGTGTTTCTACCTATTTTCTTCAAGACTTCAATTACATTCTGCTTTAACATCCTTCCACTGATAGAGCCCAGGGTTGGGGCACACCTCTCAGAGCTGAAGCAATAACTGTAGCAATCATAAAATAATTGGAAGACCCAAATAAAGTTGCGGAAGGTATTGTGATTGACTGGTTTCATTCTCGGGACCCAACTGAGGCAATGGTGTGGAAATGACAGAGACTCCTCGGGAGCCCTAATGCACTTTCATACTAATTAGAATGAAAAGAGTAAATAACACTACTGAATACTCAGGTGACATGCGGAAGTTCACTCTGTTCCCCTGGGGTCTGCTGGCAGTGTGGGAAGAAGCGGGGCAATCCCAATAATTTCAACCCAATGCAACAAAAAAGAAAAAGAAAAAACGGAAGAACTCTCTTGTCATGTGTCCTGGAAATTTCCCAGTGGCTAGGAATGGACTCTAGTGCACGAACAGAAGTGATACTACGAATTCCCAGTCAAGAGTGCTGGGTATGGGCTAGGGACCAACATCCAAACAATGTCAGTTAAAAGAGAGGGTAGACAACCTATTTATTTATGCATACAGAACCGGGGTACAGACTGGAGGTGCAGGGCAGTGAGAGGATTGACCAGAGTTAGAGTGGGGAGCAGAAAAGGCACATTGACGAAGCACACTGCTGAGGGGAGCAGCGGGCAAGACAGGAGAGGTCGGCTGCGCCATGTGGGTCAGCTCCTGGCTGGGATCAAATTCATGCTGAGGTGGCCATGACTAGATTCTCAATGCTGCATTTTAACCCGTTGTACCACCAGGGAGGGCCTTTTAATATAGGAAGCCAGGGCAACTTAAGGCAGCTTCTTTAAGAAATATTCTTTTTCGTTCAATCAGAGGCAACATCTTTCTAGACTTGTCCTCTCCAGGAAGACTTCTTACACTGTTGGAAATGTTCTCCGTCTATGTTTGTCCAACACAAATGTTGCCTATAGAGGCCACTAGTGACATTGGTTATTGTGCGCTTGAAATGTGGTTAGTAAGACTAGTAACCTGAGACTCGGATTTTATTTATTTGTAATTAAATGATGAACTTGACAGGGATGTATAATGCAAGATTCATATATAAAAGCCTATTGTATTTCTATATACTAGACTGAAAAATAAGAAACTGATGTTTTTTGTCTGTTCTAAGGAAATTTTTTATTATATATATGTATTTTACATTATTCTTCATTTTGCTCATTTTTTCATCTCAATTATAATCCCTGTGCACTTCTCAGCACCACCTTTAAGTACATTTCACAAGAGCATAAAAGATATGAGATAATGAGGGAGTAAGTCTGACAAAGTATATATGAGTATATATATACAGTGAAAATTACAAAAACACATTAAGTGAAATTACTGAGGATCTTCAATTAATGAAGAAAAATGCCATGTTCATGGTCAAAAGACACATTATTTCTAAGTTTTCCCTAAAGTGACCTATCACCTTAATCATTTGATTAATCATTGCAATCAAGTCCAACTAAATCCCAACAGGCTTTTTGGTAGAAACTGATAGAGTTATTCTAAAAGTTATATGGAAATGAAACACATTAGAATAGTCAAATCACCTGAAAAAAAAAATACTAATGTTGAAGGACTGACAATACTTGATTTCAAAACTAAAAGGCTACTGCAAAGCTACAGTAATCAAATAATGTGATGTTGGGAGAAAGATAGACAAATGGATCAATGGAAAAGAATAGAAAGTCCAGAAATAGTCTCACATAAATGGAGATTAAAAACAATTCAACAAAGAACCACTTTCACCAATGAATGATGCCTGAACAATTCAGCTATTCAAATGCATGAAAAAGAAAACCAACTTCAATGCCTACCTCATCATATACAAAAATTAACTCTCAATGGATGGCAGACCTAAATTTAAAACTGAAATTATACAATTTCTAGGAAGAAATTTAAGAAAAAACTTTGTGACATGAGATTTCTTAGAAATGAGGTCAAAACAAAATCCAAAACAGTGGAAGAAATGACCAATTGGATTTTGTCCAAATTAGTAAGTTGCTCTTGAAATGATACTATTAAGAGAATAAAAAGACAAACCACAGTAAAAGAAAAAAAAATGTTATTTCAAGCATGTATCTGACAAAAGACTTATATCCAAAGAACTCTCAAAACTCAAGAACAAGAACGCAAACCAATAATAAATGAGCCAAATATTTAAACAGACATTTCACCAGAGATTTGCAGACGGTAAAGGAGCATGTGAAATGACGTTCATCATCAGTCATAAAGAAAAATCTTAAAGCATAACCAGCTACCATATAACACCTATTCAAGAGATGAATGCTACAAAGATTGACCATACCAAATATTGGTGAGAATGTGGAACAGCTACAACTCTCACACCACTGATGGGTATGGAGAAAACTACAAGCATTTTGGGAAACAGCGTGGCAATTCTTTGAGAAGTCAAACAGACATCTACCATATGACCCAGTCAATCTACTTCTACAAAGAGAAATGAAAGTCTGTGTCCGTGTGATTAGTGACCTATCCCTGAATATTCATAACCATTATTTTTTTCTTAATAGCCAGAAACAAAATTATCCAAGTGTCCATCCACAGGCAAGTGGATAAAGAAATTATGGGATATTAACTCAATACGACAAACTATACAACACCATAGATGAACCTCACAATAATTATGACACATGAAGATTGAGTACATACTGCATGACACTCTATATAATATTCTGGAACATGCAAATAATATACAGTGACAGGAAGTAGGTCAGAATTGCCTGGGGACAGATGAGGTTGACGGGGCATCAAGAAGGGATAACAACTGAGAACAAAAAAGCTTCTGGGCTGGTGGGTAGTCCATGATCTTGTTGTGGTCACTGTGTCACATAGATCCAGATGTCAAAACTTATCAAATTGTGTGTTTTAAATACTGTATCTCAATTGCACCTCAATAAAGTTGTTTAAAACATAAAAACAACCAAGGGACCTCCCTGGTGGTGCAGGAGTTAAAGTCTCAGAGCTGGCAAGCTACCACTAGCCACTGCGACATGAGCTCCATTCCCAGCCAGGGAGCTGACCCACATGGCTCAGCAGACCTCCACTGTCTCACCTGCTGCTCCCCTCAGCAGTGTATTTCAGTAGACCTGCCTGTTCTGTTCCTCACTCTGTCTCACTCCCCTGTGCCTCTGACCTGCAACCCAGTGCTTGTATGCATG